ATAGATTTCTTGCTTCTGCCACAAATTCCCCCAGCTGTGAGCCTTCCAACCTTCAAAGTATTCCTTTATATGTGGTTCAGAGTTCTGGGACCAGCCCCTGAGCCTGCTTGGTCAGGTATTCTGTGTTGTTGTTGGCGGAGCTCTCTGCTATATGTCCGCCCGATCCGCCATCTTGTTTGTTCTTCCTATTTGATTCTATTTTTGTAAGTCAATTCATAAGGCAGTTGTTTTTTTATCTTTTAAACTTTGTTGTTAATCGAGTGAAGGTTTACAGGCAAGAACATCAGTTTTACACACAACAAATCCTACACTTTGTTTCATCTCAATGATTGTAATCCCCTCTATGCAGCAACGATTATCCCCCTTCCCATCTCTTCTCAACTTGGGTAAAACAACTCTTTAAGTAAATTCTGCTCTTTAGATCTTGAATGATTGACCATTTCTTGGTGAGCATACTTTACTAGTGTTGTTGTCCCTCCTATGTACCTATCTACTACTTGGCTGAAAGTTGGGCCATGAGGGTGAATTCCTTTCCAGACCTGAAGGGTGGTCAAGGGCCATAGGCTCAAGGCAATAAGAGGGAATATAATTGGGAAGGGTAACATGAGAGACTATTAAGGTAAGAACCATTCAACTTCTTAGCCAGGGTTTTGAGTACATGGTGTGTAGCTTATTATTTTTCCTTAAATGTTACATATATTCTTTTTATACTCTTCTAATATATGAAAGAGCTCTGGTAGTGTAGTGGTTATGAATCGGGCTGCAAACTGCAAGGTTAGCAGTTCGAAACTACCAGCTGTTCCGAGGGAGAAAGATGAGGCTTTCTGCTCCCGTAAAGATTTACAGCCTCGGAAACCCTGTGCAGGGATGAGTTCCTCATTCTTTCTGACCAGTAAGCCCAGTCTTTTATAACTTTGAATTTTTTTCCTAATTTTTTTGTCTCTCTATCTAACTGGGACCTTCTAATGTGATCCCTTTCAGAGCAGTTGGTAGTGGTAGCTGGTCTCAGAGTTTTAGAGTTCTTCTGGTCTCAGAGTTATAGAGACTGAGGTTCACATGTTCTATTAGTCTATTGGACTAACTGATTCCAAGCATTTCCAATTCTCGAGGGCAGTGTGTTTTATTTATGGAAGAAATAAGAGAAATTGCCCAGGTCTTAAATTTGTTTCTGATACTGGGTAGGCTTCTCTTGCACACCATGGGCATCTTTTAAAAAGATAATAACACATGCATCACCCACCATTCAGATTAACTGAGAAAGGGAAAATAAGAATGAGGTTAAAAAACTATATTATATTATAAAACAGTAGTCCTAGTTTAAGATGCTTCAGAATGCTGCCTGGGTGATCAGAGATCTGAGTTTTGGATCTTAGAAGAGAAAGCTTCCAGATGCCAGTGGTAAATCAGCTATGCTCTAGCAAATGCAGATACAGACACCCTCTTACAAGCACACAGAGAAAAAGATTTTAAGTAACAGAATCCCACTGTTGGAATCAACTGCCCTTTATCCAGCCCGCAGCTGCTATCTATATCTGTAAAACTCTTCTCAGGAACCATGACCAAATTCATGGATGACTCAGAAGTCCCTGGGTGGCACAAATGGTTAACATGCTCAGCTGCTAATGGAAAAGTTATTGGCTGAGTCCACCCACTGACACCTTGGAAAAAAAACACCTGGAGAGCTACTTACATAAAAAGCAATTACTGAAAACCATGCATCGCAGTTCTATTCTGACACATATGAGGCCACTGTGAGTTGGAATTGACTCAAAAGCAACAGTTTCCCCATCCTCCACCCCCATCTTCCTCTTTCTTCTTCTAATGGCCTTTAAAGGCCTGGCCAAAGGTAAGAGCTGAGTCTATTTGGTGAGATACAGACAAGAGGAGAACTTCTAGATTGCTGGCTTCTGTAAATTCTGGCATCCAGAATGTGAAAATGGTCGAGAGTACTTAGAAAATGGTCAAGGATTTACCTGGAGGAGTAGGTTTAGGCTTTCTGCTACCACAAAGATATACATAGTTGCTATGAGTTGGAACTGATTCGACGGCACTTAACAACAACAACAACAGTGGATTTCTGTATCATAGATCATGAGCTCTGGACAAGGGTTGCATATGTTGGGGGTTTATGTTAATTACAGCAGGGCAGGATGATCTGTGCTCTCTAGCTCAGCAGAATGGGTAGGAAGGAAGTGCTGTTGTTAGTTGCTGTAGAGTTGATTCCAATTTATGTTGACCCCATGTGTGTGTAGTAGAACTGCACCATAGAGTCAAATCTGTGACTTTACAAAAATTCATTGCCAGGCCTATCTTCTGAGGGGCTACTGGATGGGTTTGAATCACCAGCCTTTTGGTTAGTACTTGAACACTTAACAATTTGCATCACCCAGGGACTCCTAGGAAGAGATGGTAGGAGGGAAGCAAGTATTTATGAGGGACTTTAGAATAATTTGATCTTGGGGACACAATCCCAGATGAATAAAAAGTTTCTAAACTTTGTCACTTCAGTTTCTAAACTTTAAATCACTTCAGGGACTAGAATAATCCCAATGGCAAAATGGAATTTAAATGGCTTTGTATGTGCAACAGATGGTCCTTTGTGGATTTTTTGCAAATACAGAACAAAGACAAGAAAACTTTCACCCATTTCAGGAACTAACACTTCTAGCTGCTGCTTCCTGACAGGAGTGACTATTTTTGGCCACTGGGTTATTCCAAAACCTCAAGAAATTACTTTTGTTATTAACGTGTTTATCTGATAAAGGTAAGGGAGCAGCTTTTTAAAGAATATGTAAACTCTTCTTGGCCCGTTCCCATTTGTTGGATAAGTGAAACAGAGGAATCTTGAAACAAAGGGAAACATCCAAGAGTGGGAAAATCATGACATCCCTTAGTTATTGGGATGGAATATCCTTAAAAATAATCAATCTTAAAGTGAACTTTAGGGAAAATGAGGCCCAGAGAAAAAAGGAGACTTTAATTAAATCCGTGCATTGAGTGATTAGTTAACGTGCTCCAGATGAGTTTGGAAGAAAGATAAATGAATGAATGACTTACAGTTCTATACATTATGAGAGAGAATTGGAAAGAGTTGGCAGATTGTATCTAAAAGTACTTGGAGATGACAATGGTCAGGAATCAAGGTTTCTTGTCCTTACCAGTCCTGGGCCCCAAGGTGAGGTGGTGGTGGTGGAACATGTGAATGGGATCTCACTTTTCTTATTAAAACTGAGTAAAACAAGCATGACATAACTTAAAGTAAATGTGTGGTGTCCGTGTTGAATGTGATTAGGAAAATTCAATCAAATCAGATGATATATGAAACCTCATGATGAGGTGGCCAGAGATTACAAAGTCAATGTTAATAAAATTCCATGCATTTTATTTAGAACCATGTAGAGAGCTCCTCATTGTCAGAGCTGTTCTCCAATTGCTCAGCAAGACGGGGCTTCCTCACTGACTGAATCCCACGCACTTTAGGCATCAGAGGATGATGAAGTTAGTCTTCTGAGTTCTTGTAAGTGAAATAAGAGATCCATGTTAAGGTTTAATCAGACCTCCCCTGTGATGGGGTTCATTCTCTTGGGACTCTCAGCCCACCCAATACTAGAGAAAACCTTCTTTGTGCTCATCCTTCTGATGTACCTGGTGATCCTGCTGGGCAATGGGGTCCTCATCCTGGTGACCATCCTGGACTCTCGACTGCACATGCCCATGTACTTCTTCCTGAGGAACCTGTCCTTCCTGGATATCTGCTACACAACTTCCTCAGTCCCCCTGATTCTTGACAGCTTCCTGACTCCCAGGAAAACCATCCCCTTCTTAGCCTGTGCTGTACAGATGTTTCTCTCTTTCGCCATGGGAGCCACTGAGTGTGTGCTCCTGAGTATGATGGCATTTGATCGCTATGTGGCCATCTGCAACCCCCTTAGGTACTCTGAGATCATGAGCAAAGCTGTCTATCTGCCCATGGCTGCTGGATCTTGGGTAGCTGGATGCAGCACCGCTGTAGTGCAGACATCCCTAGCAATGCAACTGCCCTTCTGTGGAGACAATATCATTAATCACTTTGCCTGTGAGATCCTGGCTGTCTTGAAATTGGCCTGTGCAGATATCTCCATCAACATTATCAGCATGGGAGTGGCCAATGTGGTCTTCCTGGGAATCCCGGTACTGTTCATTTTTTTCTCCTATGTGTTCATCATTGCTACTATTTTAAGGATTCCCTCAGCAGAGGGGAAGAAAAAGGCTTTCTCCACTTGCTCTTCCCATCTCACAGTTGTGGTTGTCTTCTATGGAACCATCCTTTTCATGTATGGGAAGCCCAAGTCTAAGGACCCACTGGGGACAGGCAAACAGGACCTTTTAGACAAGCTCATCTCCCTTTTCTATGGGGTGGTGACCCCCATGCTCAACCCCATCATCTACAGCTTGAGAAACAAGGATGTGAAGGCGGCTGTGAGTAATCTGGTATTTCAGAAACGCTTTTCTCAGTGATGGTGGGAGGAGTCTTGGTAATTCTGTGCTCCCTGTTTTTTCTTACTTGAAGGTCTCAGAGGATAAGACCACCAAATGTGAACCAACGTCATCAAATACTACATAAATCTCATTCCACAGAAGGACTTTGTGAACTGGGAGCTTTTAATGGGACTTTTCCCCACTTCATTCTATAAACAGTGTCATAAAGGTATATCCTTATTTGTTTAGGCTTTTAGTTCTCATTCTTTGTAATGGACAATGAACACATTCAAGTCAAGGAAAAATGACTTCAAATTTTTATTGCTTAACAGATGAAAAGCTCCAATCTTTTATATGATTTCCCTTGAATATATTTGAATGATGTTTTTATGTTACCTTTCAACTCTTCCTATGACATACAAAAGAGTATTTGCAACATTTCTACCTTTCTCCTTATGGTTTCATTTTCATATCGATCCTTTAGAAAATGTTTCCTGGGTTTTTATCTCCCATGGCTCTGTAATTAATCTGTTGTTTTCTTTCCCTGATTCTCACTCAAGTTTCCCACCAGAAATCATTCATGCCCTTGAATCAAAGTGGGGAGTAAGGAAGGTATGCAAAGGTTTTACCTTTGTGAATATGTTTTTCACTCCTGGGTTCTGTACCCAGATAGAAGTGGCCTCTCCTGGGTCATAAGAATAATGTGGAAACTGAGATATGTCAAGAAGGAACAAATGAATTGTATAAACTATGTGGTACAGCATGACCACGAATGAAGCCAAGTGATGACATCACTTGCTTTGCTACCGAAAAATCACCAATGCCACATGGTGCTTAAAGGATGTGAAGTCTATCAGGAGACTTCTAATAACCACCCACATGACTGATGAGGAATTCCAAACCAGCTCCCAATAGTCATTAATCTAATGAACAGAATAGAAAATCTCTGACAATTGATGTGAACTTTCAATCTTATCAAGAGGAAACAAACAAAATAATCAGCTCTTGATTTAAAAAAAAAAAAGTTAATACAGGAAGATAGAAAATTGAGATTAAAAAAATCTCAATATAATTCTTAGTGGAATTCAAGAAGTGATTGAATCAATAAAACAAAGAGCACTCTATGAGAAAAGATTTTAGGAGAACAGATGATTGGGAGATAAGAACTTTTTTAGAAGTAAAAAGAAAACATCAAATAAATGAAAGTCAACAGCAAACAATTGAGAAGTATAAAGACTTTATTATACTTTATACACTAAAAATTAAATTTGGAAATAAAAAATAAATTAAATTGCTCTCCTAACCTTCAGACAAAAAAGCAGATTAGAAATTATTTAAGAAAAGATTTGAGAAGTTATGAAATCCCAACCTAGAGGATCTGTCATAGAATTTCTCAAGGTGAGAACAGAGAGATTGAAGACAAATGATAATGAAAAAGACCAAATAAAATGTAACCTAAACAAAAGTAGTTAGAGTCTCTGGTCCAAAAGAGTTCACTGTCAGAAAAGAACTATGGCAAAAGATTTACTTAGACCTGAGGATAAATGTTTATTTCCACATGTAACAGGATGTTTCTGTAGACTTTTCAATAGAAGAAAACACATTATCTAACAAACAATACAAATCTGATGGTCATTGGCCTTCTCTGTAATACTGAATACGAGTAAGCTTGTCAGATCTATGTTTACAGAGTTATGAGGGAAATTATTTCTGGTTCTGGAATCTTACATATAACTGACTATTGCACACATGTGAGGATTAAAAGACTGTCAGGTGAAAACACAGGAATATATACTTCTACATTCTATTTTTGGAAAAAAAAATTACTTTAAGAAGTTCTTTCAAAAAACATTAACAAAATAACAATTAAATGAATATAATAAATGTAGTATACATGAAATGATAGAGAATGGTGAACTGCCTAAAACCAATAAAATCTAAGTAATCGCAAATCAAATTTACAAAGATTTATATATAAAGAAATTATTAGAAAATGCATAAGGATAATGATTTTTAAAAAGCAGTGATATTCATTTCAATTATAATTCCAGATGATTTCATCAAACTAGAAGGTGGAGAAAGAGAAATAATGTTGCAGTCCACGAAAGACTTCATTTTATGAAGGAATTGGGGTAATAGAGCAGGGATTATGACTATGAGTCATTGTGTTGACCTAGAAATACAGAAAAAGTTTAAATGTGCTTTTAGAAAATTTAAGAGTGATTACCTATAGATGAAGCTTTTTTTTTAATTAGAGGATTGTGGAAAATAACAACAAAAGCTGATTAAATGAAAAGCCATTTACTGAATTTTAGCAGATTAAATCCAGTGTATATTTTACAAGTGATGAAAATGTCAAGTGGCATTTTTAGGAATTCAGGAATATTTCTAGGAATGCCAAGATCCCTAATTAAGAATATTAGGAATTCCAAGACATCTGACATAAAGAATGTTAGGAAAACTAACTCTGCAGTAAATCTCATTCATAGATTAAAGGAGGAAAAATGATTACATAAACAAATGTTGAGAAATCATTGCATAACATTTCATATCTACTTCTGGCTTTTTAAAAAAGTAGTGGACTTGAGTGGAGGAAATCACCATTGCAATGTAGAATTACCCCATAAGCAAGCTAAGTCTGGGCTTACTTGTGTTTACTTACTAATCTGTAGTGAACAATTTCACTACATCAAAATTCTGCTTTTAAGATTGGCTGGCATCTGTTTCTCCCTACCCTACATCACCTTCCTACAGAATCAAAGCCTCTTTTTCAAATTTACAATCTCTGACAGGGATTGAGTACCCAGTAATCAAGGTAAACTTGTGCTTACTTAGTAATCTGTAGTATACAATTCCACATGAGTCTCACCATCGTCCCTACTAAGGAGGATTCTGGTTGTACTTCTTCTAAGACAGATTTATTTATTCTTCTGGCAGTCCATGGTACTTCCAACATTCTTCACCAACATCACAATTTAAATGCATCAATTCTTGTGTCTTCCTGATTCATTGTTCAGCGCTCATATGCACATTGAGGCAACTGAGAATACCTTGGTTTGGGTCATTTGCACCTTAATCTGCAAAGTGACATCTTTGCTCTCTAACAGTTTACAAGTCTTTGACAGCAGATTTGCCCAATGCAATATGCCATTTAATTTCATCACTGTTGCTTCCATGAACAATGACTGTGGATCCAAATAAAATGAAATCCTTGACAACTTCAATTCTTTTCTCCATTTATATTGTTTATTGGCCAAGTTGTGAGGATTTTTTTTTCCTTTTCATTAAATTGTAATCCATACTGAATGCTGTGTCTTTGATCTTCATCAGCCAAGTGCTTCCAGTCTTCTCGTTCAGCAAGCAAAGTACTGTCACCTGCATATCGTAAGTTATTAATGACTCTTCCTCCATTCCTGAGGTCACTTTCTTCTTCATGTAGTCCTGCTTCTTAGATTCTTTGTTTAGTACACAGGATGAATAAGTATGGCACATACATTTTCTGATGTCAAATCACTCAGTATCTCCTTGTTCTATTTGAACAACTGTCTCTTGGTCTATGTAAAAGTTATGCATGAGCACAATTAAGTGTTCTGGAGTTCCCGTTCTTCACAATGTTATCCATAGTTTATTATGATCCATATAGTTAAATGCCTTTGCATAGTCAATAAAACACAAGCAAACATCTTTCTTGAATTCTCTGTTTTCAGTCAAGATCCATCTGACATTAACAATTATATCCCTGGTTGCAGGCTCTCTTCTGAATCCAGCTTGAATTTCTGGAAGCTCTTTGTCAATGTGTTGCTGCAACTGTTTTTTAATTATCTTCAGCAAAAATTTACTTGCATGTGATATTAATGATGTTGTTAGATAATTTCCACATTCTGTTGGGTCACCTTTCTTTGGAATGGACATAAATATGGATCTCTTCCAGTTGGTTGGCCAGCTAGCTGTCTTTCAAATTTCTTGGCATAGACTAAAGAATGCTTCCAGCATTGCATCAGTTTGTTGAAACATTTCAAGAGGTATTCTGTCAATTTCTGAAGCCTTAGTTTTTGCTAATATCTTTGGAACAACTTGGACTTCTTGCTTCAATATCCTGGTTCTTGATCATATGTTTCCTCCTGAAATGTTTGAACACCGACTACTTTTTTTTGGAGGGTGGTGGGCAATTGTGTATTTCTTTCACCTTCTTTTGATGCTTCCTGCATCATTCAATATTTTGCCCATAGAATCCTTCAATATTTCAACTTGAGGCTTGAATTTTTTCTTCAGTTTTTTTTTCGGCTTTAGAAATGCTGAGTGTGTTCAACTCTTTTGGTTTTCTAGCTCCAGGTCTTTGTACAATTCATTTTAATGCTTTACTTTGTCTTCTCAAGCTGTCCTTTGAAATTTTCTGTTCAGTTCTTTTGCTTCATCATTTCTTTCATTCACTTTAGCTACTCTACTTTCAAGAGTAAGTTTCAGAGTCTCTTCTGACTTCCATTTTGGTCTTTTCTTTCTTTCCTGTCTTTTTAATGATCTTTTGCTTTCTTCTTGTATGATGTTTTTTATGTCATGCCATAAGTCCTCTGGTCTTCTGTCATTAGTGTCAAACCTGTTTTTGAGATGGTCTCTACATTCAGGTGGGCTGTACTCAATATCATACTGTTTCTCACGGATTTGTTTTAATTTTCTTTAGCTTCAGCCTAAACTTGCATATAAGAAATCGATGTGCTGTTCCACAGTCAGCCATGGCCTTGTTTTGGCTGATGATATTAAGCTTCTCTATTGTCTCTTCTCATTGTTGTTGTTATTGTGAAGTGCTGTGGAGTCGGTTCCGGCTCACAGTGACCCTGTATAGGGTTTCTGAAGGGCGGCTTATAAGCTTGAACCACCAACCTTACAGTTCAAACCAACCTTTCAGTCCAGCCCATTAACCCACAGCGCCACACCAGGACTCCTCTCTTTCCATAGATATAGTTCATTTGATTTCTGTGCATTCCATCTGGTGAAGTCCATATATACAGTCACTGTTTATGTTATTGAAAAAAGGTATCTGC